AAAATCAGAACAGGACAATCATAATGAACTAAATCCCATCTCAATTCCATGTTTTCTACCACCGAATATGGCTGCATATCACGAGTGATAAACACCCCTTATAGCTTATAGTTATTTTTCAGCCTGAATTCTCTGGCAAAAGCGCCTTAAACGCCAGAGGGAGACTAACTCGCTGAGGCTGTTTCTGCCTTCAGTCATACACACATTTGGATGAAGTTGTCCCAAATGAGTTAGCATGTTGGATATGTCGTGCGCTGAAGGAGGAACCAGACTGGGCCCAAAGCAAAGACAAGGCGTGTTCTCTCTGGGGGCTGTTGTGTGGCTCAGCAGGTTAAGCACGTGCCAGTGATTGCAAGATCACTGATTCAAATCCCCAGGCCACAAAACTAATACTGCTTTGCCCCCTTGAGCAAGACCCTTGGCCCCCAGCTCCAGGAGTGCTGCACCCTGACTGACGTTGTGCTGTGACCCCACACACTCCTGTATGTCCTGTATGTATGTCTTATGAGGGGTAGGGACGCAGAGAATTCCTGTACAGGTGTGTCTCCTTTGTACCACACAACCATATTCAACACAGAAGTAAAGGTATCCTTGGGCCTATGCCATGGTGGTCACTGTATGGATAGTTATCACCTTCAGCAAACTCAAGTATAATTGGACTACCACTTTTTTAACAGGAGAAATAAAGTAATTCCATTAAGCATATTTGCTGAGGCAATGGATTTTGGTGCTCGAACAGCTGCAATAACATCCCTGACCCAATTAATGGAACAGGGTCATGTGGCTTGATTCCAAACGTCCAGCCAGAAAAGCAGCAGCGAAGCTTTCGGGCTGAATCGATATGACCAGGCAGCATCCTGAATGAAAGGCGTACAGAGGAGAGCTCGCCATGCAGCTGGAAACCACATGCCAGCGGCTGGAGAGCAGAGTTCATCAGGACCAGCAGTGCTGCAATGGCACAATCCGGATATCAGCACAATTTTATCTTTTAACCGGTTATCTGGGCCTGGCGTCCATTCCCAGGCAGGGGGGCATCCTGTCCAGGATGCCAGATCACACACGTGGGATGCCAGATCACACACGTGGGATGCCAGATCACACACCTGGGATGCCAGATCACACACCTGGGATGCCAGGACACATACCTGGGATGCCAGATCACACACGTGGGATGTCAGATCACACACCTGGGATGCCAGATCACACACCTGGGATGCCAGATCACACACCTGGGATGCCAGATCACACACCTGTGATGCCAGGTCACATATCTTGGATGCCAGATCACACACCTGGGATGCCAGATCACACACCTGGGATGCCAGGACACATACCTGGGATGCCAGATCACACACGTGGGATGTCAGATCACACACCTGGGATGCCAGATCATACACCTGGGATGCCAGATCACACACCTGGGATGCCAGGTCACATATCTTGGATGCCAGATCACACACCTGGGATGCCAGATCACACACCTGGGATGCCAGATTATACACTCTCAGGCATCTGGCATGGCACTCACACTTTCAGACTCTCACGGTCATACAAGGAATCCTACAGCAAATCTATATTATTCCATTATAGACCTAAAATCAGCTACGTCAAAAGTGTTGGGGCAGTTTGTAAACCTTACAAACTATTTACAATGTAATAAAACTGTTAGATACGTGTAAATGCATGTGCATGTGCGTGCAGACTTGTAAAAATCCCACTCCAGCCAACTGACCAAATATGGCAACCCTGTCACATAAACGGAGAGTAGAAGCAAGATTCCAGCCCTAGATGTGTGAGGCAATTCTGCTGCCCAGTGAGTTACTTTCCCACCCAGAGCCTAAAACGTCCCCCATCATTTTACTTTAGAATAGTGGAGCTCCTACAGTACATGACAGCTAGCTGATTCCCCAGCACATGGACAGAATGAATGTGAGCCAATGCGTATCATTCTGATGACATAACAGCTTCGTGGTCTGAGCTCTGTGCTCCAGTTTGACCCTTAGGAACACCAGGCATATTACCTGGTTATCACAAACTGAGTAAAGAAGCTAGGAGTGGGCCTGGACTGGCCATCTGGCATACCGAGCATTTTCCCAGTGGGCGGATGGGTTTGTGGGCCAGCAAAATGTATTGTGGGGGGTATGTGCCCCCCCCCCCTCCCCACACAAGCTCAGCAAAATTAATTGCGGGGGACCCCAGGCCAGCCCTAGGCATACAGGGTACAGCATAACCAATAAGGTACGGTAATGGCCAGACCTATTCCAATATCCAATGTGCTTCAGAGGGTGTTCAGCCCAGCTGCACCCTCTATTCTGATGGGTGTCCTGGGAGCTGATCCCCATCGGCCAATCACAGCACAGGAAAGGGACTGAGCCTGCAGGAGGCTGGATCATGAGGCTGCAGCCCCACATGAATGCAAATGAGTCCCAAACGGTTGGTTTGGCTCAGGTGTTTTAACAACCATGCTCTCATTTTTAGAATTGCATACATTGTATCAGTCCCATCCTCATAACGTCAGAGAGACACAGAACTCAATATGACGACCCTCGGACAAATTCGGCCTCTGGGCTGAGCAGCTGATGTTGTAAGATCCTAGCAGCGCCCCTGGTTTGACTTTCAGTATTTCTCATTTGGGTCTGCAATGATCCTTGAAAAAGCACATACAGCAGATAAATCTTACAAATACTACATTTTCCCCTCATAATTACAGTGCTCACAGAAAATCTAAATTACGAACGACTGCTTGTCAATGAACTTTTTAAGACAGCTCTTTTAGAACTATGAGTTGGGCTTATTAATACTTGAAATGAACATTTTACTTAAAATACTTGTTTCTATTGTGATATATATTTTTATAGACAAATTAAAGTAATGATTTTTGATATTAAACCAATTTTGCAATATTTTTACTGAATTAAGGAAGCATGGCAAGGCTTTCTGTGAGTGCAGTATCTGAAACTATAAAATCACTCCTTTGTCTTGCATTTTCAAAAACTGCTCCTACCTTAAATGGTGGAATTGACCAGCATTTTCATTTAGCTATTCACGTGACGCTTACCAAGCATTAGGAAAGAGTGAGCATCCAACAAGAACACCTCAGTGAGCATCAGGACCACAGCTAACTACTAGCACATCATTCTGTAGGAATTTGGGGAATAGGGAGAGAGGACTTAAACAGGCCAGCCCCAGGTGGGGGTATTTGCTAAATACTGTAACTGAAAATAACTAAAGATCTGAACTTCACTATATAGCACACAGTTAAATAGTTTTAGTATAACGTTTTCATTTTCTTTTTAAAGGCTGGTACAATTCAGCGACTTGGAACCAATTTATAATGGCATAATTTCAGCCATTTTAACCGTTTTACACTCAAAATTACAAAGGCTGTTTGTACTAAAGTCTTTTATGAGCATGTCCACATGGGGGCGACAAAAGGCAAATAATATTAATGCCTCACAACACTTGCTCAGAGCAGTTTTGGGTCATATTACTCACAGAGTGGGGGAAATGTACTTGTTAGTATTTATCTTGGTATGAAAGTAATGCTGAACCAAATGACATGCTCCAAATAATTTAATATCACTGAGCACAATCCTTGTATACATCTTATGGGCCTGTTAATACCTTTTTAGATAAGGATGCAAAACATTTTATATGGCTACTGCATGAAAATAGTTACAAGAAGAGTTTAGATTGCTATGGTAAAATACTTGCCTAAGTACATCAGTGGGTAGCAGTCAGGGTCAGCGCCCAGCCATCCCTGCCCTTCGTGTCGCATCCCTGTTTGACCAGCAGGTGTCGCTGGCCATCCTGTTCTCCAGCTGGCCTCTTGTCCTTCAAGTCCTTAGTGTGTCTCCCCTGCTTGCTAGCCTGCTGCGTAGTGCTGTGGGCTGAACATGCAGCTATAAGCTTTGTGCTCGTGTGTTTGAAACCAGCCTCCTTTCTTCATTTGTATTTATTAGGTTTTTGTTCTCGTGTTTCTTCTCTGTTTGTTGTCTTCTTGCCAGTTTGTGGTTTGCCTTCTGCTTTGGTTTTTGATTGGGTTTAGATTCACGCCTTTGCCGTTTCTCTGTGCCTCGTGATTGTTGATGTTCCCCCTGATTTCTCATTGTCCTGTGCCTGGTTAATTGTTTCATCTTTCACTCCTGCTTCTTCATTACCCGGTTCGGTTTGCGTTTGTAAGTTCCTACCTGTATTTATTCCTTCAGGGTTGTTGTGTTAGAATGTGTGCTGTTACTTTGCCTGTTTCTGCTCCCCGTTTATGTCCATCCTCTGGTGTCTTCTAGTTATTTGTGGTTTCCCAAGTTATTTTTTACTCACTTTCCTTAATAAACCCCTCCGTTGTCTTGGAGCTGCAAAGTGGACTGTCGCCTGCTTCATGCCCGCTCCATGCCCGCTTCATGCCCGCACCGTGCCCCGCCGGCATGACGGTAGCCTTTCCCCTGTTGGGCTGTGTGCTGGGCTCCTACTCACAGCTTTACCCTGGTAGAGTCTATGCCCAGGGTGTCTCGCTGAGTCAGCGTTAGGCCCTAAACCCCCATCCCTGTTGCTGCCTTTGCGGGTGTCTGCCCTTCCCTGCCAAGCTTCCTGTCATCTATATCTGTGTCACAGGGATCAATAAAGTGTCAGTATTATTACTCACACTCTGCTGTGACCATGCAGAACGGAAAATAGTCTGACTGGGCACGGGGCTCTGAGGGTTAGGTTGCAGGGCCTGTACCCAGAAGGTCAACAGCTGAAATCCTGTGATTGGCAGAGTGATGCCATCATCGGGCCCCTGGGTGTGGCCCCTAAGGCCCCTCACCCCAGGAAGAGGCTGACCCTGCTTAATCAATAGTACACTGCTTTAGATAAAGAGGTATGTTACTAAGGGAACATAAATGATTTTTTTTAAATAAACAAGTGTGCTAATATTGATCTTTTTGTGGAAGAAAAGGGTATGCAGAATTAATTGATCTGAACCAGTACAGAGTGAATAATCCACACAGCTGATAGCAGTAAAATCTTGATCCAAAATGGTGCCTTTATTGTATTGCGAAAGACTTTACAAAGAAGTTGACATTTTACTTATTTCCTTTCCGCAAACTACAACTTTGCAGGTAAGTCACTGTTTTAAAAATCACTTATATTACATGTCCCATGGCCTATTGTGACGGTTAGAGCCCACACCTAACAACATTCTGTCCTGCTTCCAAATGATGCCACATTCATACATTGTTTCTGCCCCCAACCCCAGGATACTCAGAGTATCTTACAAAGCAAATCACTACATTCTGATTTATATAGCCACAGAATCTTCTGTCATTCTTTAACTATAGGAGTTCCACACACCCCTGTGTTTTACAGTTATATATTTATATGTAACTCAGGTACCACTGAGTAACATACAATGTTTCTGTGTAAGAAAAAAAAACCTCATTATAGTGACACTTCACATTGACACAACACATATAAGACTTAAAGATTTCTGAAACAAAATCTCATTTTAACATTATTTACACATCAATGAAACGGTCACAAGTCCATTCATTTAAAGCGCGAATGACTAACATCTGTGAAGGCGTGACAAAATTTGCCAGATTTCAGAAAGTCAAAGCAGAGGCCTATAACCAGCCTCTGTATTCTTTTATTGTTCATCAGTCTCTTTATTGAAGGGAGGCTTTTTTTCCATTCACACCAGGGCTGCCACCAGTCACAAATACAGTCCCACATTCTGGCCAAAGATATACTGACCACCAAATGTGTAATCTTTCCCTAGATATACAGATGTAGTTCTGGCTAACGGTGAGTAATTGAATATACCTGTGTGCAGTGACGACAGTAATAAAGCATCTGATCTGGTTCTGAGAAACAAAGCAAGTCTGATCTACTTTATGTTAAAAGACTAATATAAATCTAGTTAATACTGAAACACAAAACGATATAAAACAGTCAAAAAAACAAAAAGTATTCATAGTACATTTTTTACATAAATTTATAAAGTATCACACAGTTAACAAACAGGAGGAGAGGGAGAGGAGAGATCTGTGTTTTATCCAATTACAGTAACAATTTAAGATGCCAATAAATACCAGTGTTAATGTTAATCTCTTTTATGTTGCAGAGAAAAGCACGACCATAGAAAATGTTCCCTTATTTTTCTTTAAAAAGCATCATTGCCCCTCCTGGTCTCAGGCCTGACATCTTTGGCCCCAAAGATTCCTTTACCAGAAAACACAATAAAACATAAATAAGACATTGTGTCATTTTCCAACATAAAGTACATAAATAAATATAAAATGAATGCAACATAATTACTGTTATTAGTATAAAATCATATAAAAGGGGTTTCTTTAGTCCAATCTGCTCCCTCTTCGCTATAAAAAAAATCTTATTTTTCGTTTATTTATTAGATTGTTTTGAAAGGAGTGCTTTTGAATGATTTTTACATGAGCTGTCCACCTTGACTAAGGAAGTACATGGTCTCCTTACTTGAACTGATCTGGAATATGTCCTATCTGTGGCTGCATGCTGGTTGGAGGACTGGAGATGCCCTCTGACCAATCGGACATATTGGAATGTGGGGAGGAACTCGACCATTGGTCTGGAGATCCAGGGGAGGGGGTCAGAAAGGGATGGTCGGGCACCTGCAGCTGATGATTGGGGGTGTTGTCCATGGGGGCGGAGTAGCTATGCTGAGAGGGCGGGGTGAGGAACTGGGTGCTGGGCACAGCCTGGTTGAGTGAGGAGGGTATGATTTGGGTCTCCTGGGGCAGGATGGTATGCATGGACATGGTGCCCACCAGTCCAGGCTGCAGGTCTGACTGGTTTAATTCGCCGCTGATGAAATTCTGGTTGAGGGTGGCAGTGCTGGAGTTCTGGTGCTGCAGCTGGATGCTGGGAGGCTGCTGCACGCTTTGCTGGTGCTGCAGCTGCTGCATGAGGTGGGGCTGTGTGGCGAGGTGGGCCCCTCCTGGCACGCCCTGGTAGCTCATCATCTGGGAGAGGGTGGGGGCTATGTGCAGGGGCACCATCATGCCGTGCTGCATGGTGGGGCTGGCTTGGTGTAGGGCCACCTGACTTGTGGCGTTCCTCATGGGGTTGAACTGGCCTTGCTGGGCCGTGCCAGGGTGCGGGCAAGAGACCCAGTCAGCGCCCACGGTGCCGCCAGAGCCCATCGGCAGGCCCATGGGGCCAGAGGTGCTGGGGCTGGGCGTGGGCAGGTGGGAGAGGCGCATGGGCACCGGGTCGAAAGCCGCCCGGCCCAGGTCCTGCTTGGGCGCCAGCGCCAGGTGCCCGACGGCCATGTGGGCCTCAGGGATGCCCTGCATGTGGCTAAGCGGCACCGACGGAGACGGCTGGAACGGCGAAGCCATCATGGCCGGCGACGACACGTCGGACAGGTAGCCGTGTGGCGACTCCAGCGAGTCCACGGGGGAGAGCGCAGCCGAGCTGTCCAGCAGGCCGCCCTTGCAGTCCGCCTTCTTCCTGCGCCCCTTCAGGTCCTTGCCGTCCTTGCAGCTGACAGCCTTGGCCCCCGGCTTGCGGACCTTCTTGCCCTGGATGGGGGTCTTGCCGCCAATGAGGTAGCTGCCGGGGGAGCAGAGCGGCGGCGAGAGGGTGGCGCCCATGTGCCCGTTGTGCACGGTGGGGCTGCGCACCAGGTTGTACTCGTCGAGGAGGCGCACAATGTCGTGGTGCATGCGCTCCTGCGCGATGTCCCGCGGCAGCCTGTCCATGTGGTCCGTGATCTCACGGTTGGCGAAGTGATCCAGCAGGACCTTGGCCGTCTCGTAGCTGCCCTCTCTGGCAGCGAGGAACAGCGGCGTCTCCTCCTGAGGTGGGGGGGGGGGGGGGGGGGGGGAGACACGGAGGCAGTGAGCAGCGTAGCCCTGTGTGCTTACTGAAGGAGTCACACTGAAAACACAAGGGTCATGGGTTCAAATCCCACGGAGAGCACATAAATTGTAGCCCTTCCCCTACTGTACGTTGCTTTGGATAAAAATATCAAGCAAGCAAGTAAATGAAATGCAGAGACTCATACGAGGTCAAAGGTAACCAGTACTGGGGAATCTTCTCCAAGAGGAGCTTAAACAGCGACATGTGCAGCTAACAGGGGGGGGAGGCTATAGCAGAGACTCCCCGAATACTGAGGTGTGTGTGAGGGTTCTGATACCTTGTTGTTCTGCATGTCTTTGTTGGCTCCGTTCTTCAGCAGCACCATCGCTGCGTCCAGGTTGTTCACGGCGGCAGCCCAGTGGAGTGCAGACTTACCTGGGGGGGCGATTAGGGTCAAAACACTTCTAATACAGAGCCAAAGCCCAGGGTTCCTCATGGACACAAGTATAGTAATAATAATTATTATTATGATGATGATTATTTCATCCAGCCATTCATTTATAGGCTCACATTGTAATAATAATAATGATAATTATTATTGTTATTATTTTTGTTGCTGTTGTTGCTGTACGGCGTGTGCCTATAAATGAATGGCGGGATGAAATGCACTGCGCCAGTGTACGGCAGGATGAAATCTCCTGACAGCACTGCGCCAGTGTACGGCAGGATGAAATCTCCTGACAGCACTGCGCCAGTCTACGAGTGGCGTACCAAAGTCATCCACGGCGTTGGCATCGGCGTGGCAGTTGATGAGCTCCTCCACCATGCCTTCCACTGCCAGCCGGGCCGCCAGAATCAGCGGCGTGGTGCCGTCGTGCATGCGGGCATCCAGGTCCGTAGCGCGGTTCCGGATCAGGATCTGCAACGAGCCACGGGTTGGTTACGGGGCAGCGGGGCAACTGGACCTACTGGTGCCTGATGCTGTCATACCCACAGACGGGAATAACATTTAAATGGTGCCTTTTCGTATTATAAAATAATAAAACTAGCTAAATGCTGATATGATGTTTCTACTTTATCTACTGTACCTAATGCTGCTGTACCTCTGTTATAAAGCACTACAGCACATACCGAAGTAATTAAATAGCATCTTTCATATATACCAACTATACCCAATGCTGCTCTCTGTCTATTGTCAGACATTATGGGACACAGTCATATATTTAGATATTTAGTATTTTTTCACTGCATGATGTAACATACCCAGTTTAATAGTCAAAGAGTTAAAATATAGCTAATAGGCTGCATAGGTAATGGATAACAATAGATAATGGCTATATTTAACAAACTGCAAACAGGAGGAAACAGCCCAGTCCTGCCTTGCTAATTCGACACTGAACACCAAACACACTATGATTGGTCACCTACAGGCCTCAAGCCCACTTACCGCACCCCCCTTTTCTGGGTGCGATTACTTTGGTCTGACTGCACATGGGTCGCACCTGGAAGACGCCCTGGGCATCGGCGGCCACGGCGGCATGCAGTGGCGTGCGCCCCATGTTGTCCTGGACGTTGGCGTCCGCACTGGACTCCAGCAGCCGCTTGGCGGCATCGGAACGGGCGTAGCGGGCGGCCAGGTGCAGGGCGGTCTCGCCGGTGCGGTCCGTCTGGTTGTGCAGGTTGGCTCCCTGGTAGATGAAGTCGGAGATCACGCTGGCCGAGGCATCCTCGTCCTCCTCGCTGTTGGCAGTCTCCAGGCCCCCGCCACTGCAGGACGCGATCATCAGCGGAGTGAAGCCGTCTGCAAGGGCCGGGGAGAGAGGCACGTCAGCACCAGGGCATGCAAGGCAGGACAGACACTTTGGGGGTGGGGGGGTGCACATCACCATCATCTGGGAGAAACTATCGCATGTTTCAACCTTTTGTTTTTTTTCAGCTGTGTTGGATTTTCTAACTAAGATTCAGATAAAGGGATTTTTTTAAATTGCTTCAGAAACATTAAAGGGGGGTTCCAGGTTTCTCAGGGACCCAGGCAGCTGGGTGCAAAGGGCAGGTCTGTCTCCCCCCTCCGAAAGACGTCCTCCCCGCATTTCCGCAGGTTTGATCCCTGCACACTGACCCTCCGTAGGAGCGCCGACGGGAGCAGGGGGCATCGATCTGGACAGCAAACACACTTCCCGAAGCGCTTTACTTAACGATCCTGGTGTTGTTTCATTAATAAAAGCATGGAGGGGGTGTCAGAGGGAGGATTACAGGGGGGAACGAACGGTGCAGCTTGTCCCAGGGGGCACCAGCCGGCGCTTTGATCTTCACCTTCGTGCCCTGAGGGCTCAGGGCTCAGTCTACGCCCACTGACTGCACGCGCTCAGTGCCGGCGAAGGCCATGTGACCCGAGACCTGTGGGGAAGGGGGAGTGGGGCGGAGAGGCTGCCCACCTGGGCCACGGACGTTAACGTCCATGCAGTCGTTATCGATCTCGCCCTGCGGGGGTGTGGGCGCCATGGAGGAGATGCGGAGGTCAGCCGCATCGAGGTGCTGCTGGGTCCACTGCCGATGGTCCATCTGATCGTCCTGGTCCAGTATCGCCTGCTCTTCGAACTGAGGAAGACGAGCAAGGTGCTTGTTAAAAAAAAAACATCCCACATTTAGAAAACAGAAGGCATCCACACCCACCAAATCATACCGTCATGTGGAACCCAGTCAAACAAACACACAGTATTCTATCCAGTCAGGACACGGAACCACATTGAACATATGAACACAAACAAACACACAGCATTCCATCCAATCAGGACACGGAACACTGAACCACAAGTATAGTCACAAATAAATAAACACACATCCATCCAGCAAACCTATTTTACTTGCATTTGGCTTACAGAAATATTTTTATTGTATGTGAAATATTTCTATAATGACCACTGATAATTAAAACCAATACAATCATGCACCGCTTAATGGTCAACGACGGATCGTATAATGATAATAAACAAAATGTTACTGGTTTATGTATTCACTATTCTGTACGTTTTATCGTTATTTTAGAGGGTACTCTATCTTATTATAAAATCAGTTTACTGTAACACAATATGCCGTGTTACACATAGCATGTAAGTACACTCTACATTCTACAACGTTCACGTAACGACGAAATCACCTAACGACACATTTCTCACAACTCATCCCTGTCCCCCAGTGTATTGATTACTGTTCCTAGGATGTGCCGGTGCAATTCCCCAGAAAAGCACCAGAATAACACTCGGTCCGGCTTTACATGCCCTGCACCTCCTCTCCCTCCTCCCTCCTGAGGAGCCCCACTGACAGACAGACTCCTACCCTGAAGCGCTTGATGCTGGATGGCTCCACCTCGCCCCACTCGTTCTGGTTGTCGTCCATAAGGGACATGTCCGAGGAGTTCTTCAGTGGCCTGTTCCGGAACGGAGAGACGCAATTAGTGACTCCCCCGGAGGGACGAGTTCGGGTTCAACTCTGTCACGGTGGTTGGTTGGTGGGCGAAGATGCAAATGATTCATCCCCTTGATCCAGTGAGTCTGATGGAACATTCTAGCAACATCAGCCATTAACAAGGATCTAACGAGCTTCCTTAAGGCACCAAGGTCCCCCAAATGCTGCTCTAGAGCAATCAGTCCAATCGCAAAGCTACAGACGCACCAAACGACGACGTGACTCACTTCAGCCCCACGGAATCTTCCCCGACTGGCTCCCTCCTCTTCTTCTTGCCCGGCTCACCAACCTTGAAGCCCTCGGGGAACCAGAGCTGTCCATGTTCGCGGCGCCGCTTCCGGGACGCCACCACGCCGGCGGCGGCAACCGCCAGCAGCGCCAGTGCCGCCAGCGCCAGGTAGATGGGGTAGAGTTCGCTGGGCGGCTGGCTGTCGTTCTCACCTGCCGGGGGGAGAGATGCCATCGTCAGGCGCAGGAGCCGACCTCCTATTCGGCCGCACCGCGAATGGGCCAGACCTTGGCGAATGATCAGAGCCGCAAACCGGCCCCGCTCATGAGAGCCGCCCCTTCCTCCCGCTCAGTACCCGGCGTCTGACTTCACAGCATCTTCTTTAAGGGGGAAAGTGAGAGATTAACCAACCTCAAATTACCGCGCACACTTTAAGCTGTAAAGACAGGGGATTTATTTGGATTTGAGAGATAACAAAGTCTCGCAACTTCTAGAGCTCTCCTCGATCAATTTCTCCTTTTTCTCCACCCCCACCCCCCACTAACGATTTTGAAATGAAAAAAAAAAATAAATTCACCAGGCAAACCCTTGGAGATGAATTAAGTCCTGGTATTTACGCCGCACTAAGTGAGGGATGCAGTGGTCCGTGATCATGGGATGGGATGGGAAGTGGAAATCTGGGTTCTGATTATTTGCAGCTATTAGTGTGCGCAGGGGCCCAAAACATGGAGGTTCGGATGTCAATGTAGAGGAAAGTCAATTACACGCATAGCCACAGTGTCTTTCACTGATGAGGGGAAAACATGGGGTGAAGTTGAGTAAGATCTCCCTGTGCGAGACAGGTGCTGGAAGGTGGAAACATGGAGTGAATCTCAATATCTGTATTTGACTGCACGTGATCTCCTGTACCCGTTTTACATCATCTTCCATTGCTGAAGACCGGTTCCAATTCTCAAGAACAGAAGTGCAGAGGACAGTAAAAATCCATGGATGTTGTACTTGCCCCACCTCAAATATGAAGGACTCCCGTGATTCATTGTTCCTCAAGTTCATTCGTGGGAGGCAAGTTAGCAAGACCACTCTTGCCAAGACCACAAGTAGGGTCTTTGCGTTCTTTGTATTGAGAAACACCAATGGAGACATGCAGTGCGGGTGCTGCCTTAGGGGGAATTCGTACCACTGGCTAGTTAGGTGCCTAGGTAGTAGACCATGTGCCATGAGTACTCACTGGAGACAGCTTCGATGTAGTAGGGCACGTTCAGGTTGCCGCTGGACGCCAGCGCGCCCAGGAAGGCCGCCACATCCGTTGCGCTCTCGAAGCAGTCTTTGGACTGCTGGATACACTGGCGGTTGTCGATCTCCAGGTAGACCACAGAGCTGTGTGGGAGCAGAAGAGGGGCTTAGCTTAGCCAGCTTAGCGTTGACTGCAGATGTTAACCAATCAGCATCAAAGAAACCAGTCATGTGACCCACCCCTTGACTTGCGTGGGGTCCAGCTCGCGGCGGCGGCGCACGTCCAGCCCGGCATACACGGACGCCTGCACCCTGTCGAGGATGTCGCCAGGGAGTTGGGCCCAGCCGGCGGGGTCTGCCGAGCGCTTGATGCGATGCTTGCGCAGCTCCTGCTCGCTGCCGTAGTATGGGTAGATCATGGGCTGGCCGTTAGCGTCACGCCGGAACACCACGTTGGTGTGGATGACGCGGCTGAGCTCGCGCAGGAACGTCGACAGGTTGCTCTTCAGCTGCTCAGGTGGGATGTGCACCACCAGCACCAGGTGGCCTACAGCCAGTCGCTCTGGAAGGTCGCTCGCGCAGTCCAGGCCGTCCCACTCGCACTCGCCGTTGTTGCAGCCCTGGTCACAGTGGCCGTCTGCATAGTGGTCTTTGCAGTACTGGTCATACAGGGGGCTGGGAGACATGCAATAGTACTGGTTAATGCAGCGTAAATGAATCAAGCACACATCGTTAACATCAGTTAGTCAAAAACCTCAGGTTCAGTTTCGTTTTGCTCAAAAACTACAAATGACAGGGTCTTGGTGATCGTGAGTTTTGATTGACAAACATAGATGAACAAGCAGGTATGAGATAATTATTCTGGTATTTGCACTAATATTTCCATAGACTTAACTTTGCAAATTACTAAAGGTGCATAGGGTGGGGGGTGACAAATTAATGGAAACACCCACCAGTATAAATATCAAAGCCCTCATATGGAGTACGGCACCATGTGACCTTCAGAATGTCTGCAATCCTTGCATGAATGCTGATATACGAGCCCAGAACTTTATGTAGTGCGTGGAAATATAAAGGTTAATTACAGACACCATTGCTAGTGTCTCAATGGGACTTGAACCTACAACCTCCTGTCCTGTGATAACTTTCTTAAGCACAAGGTAAAAATGAGACTTGAGATCAGCTACTGCTGTACCAAGGTGGGCAGCGGGGAGAGCAAACTCACTTGCACTGGCCCTCCTGGTCCTGGCAGTCGAAGCCGTCGTAGAGGCAGCCAGCGTTGTCGCACTGTTTGTCGCACTTGCTGTCGTTGAAATATCGCCAGCACTGCAGCGCGGCCGAGCAGTTCTTCCAGGGGTCGTCAAAGTTGAGCGAGCAGTCGCCGCCGTCCCAGCTGCACGCATGGTTGTTGCACAGGCCGTCGCAGACCTTGTTGCCTTGGCGACCCTCGCACTGCGCCACCTTGCAGCTCTCCGGCACCTCAGGCGCCGGCGTGATGTCGCTGCCCGGGCCGCCCCGGAACGTGTAGTCCAGGATGTGGCAGAGGAGCCCGTTGAAGTTGGCGGGGCAGACGCAGCGGAAGTGCGGTGCTTCTGCGGTGTACTGGCACGTACCGCCGTTGTAGCAGGGGCCCGAGTTGCAGGGGCTGTCCACCGGGTACTGGCACTCAGGGCCGGTGTATGCCACCGGGCACAGGCAGCGTGGGCTCTTCTGGCCTGAGATGCAGGTACCCCCATTGCGGCAGTGCAGGCTGCCGCAGGAACGGGCGTCGTACTCGCAGGTGGATCCCGTGTATCCCTGAGCAGGATAGCAGCACTTAGCAATGCATTGTGCTACTAACGTAAAGGTTGTGGGTTCAAACCCAAAGCAGCATATATAAATAATAACCTTTCCCTCTACTGTAATTTGCATTGGATTAAAGCATCAGGTAACTGACTAAACACATTTTCACTGTTTAATGAAACGCACACATTTGCATATGCAGATGTATGGGAATCCCTAGCCAAATTAGTCAAGGATACAGATTTCTGGGTTAGGAAGATAACATATCAGATTTAGGGTAGACTGGTCTAAATGTAAGTGAACAAAGATAAAGTACATTTACATCAGGATACCTTAAACCAAACCAGTTATATAATTAACCAACAAGTTCATCATACAGGCCCAAGTTCTACCAGTTTTCTAAGTGAAATAAGTAAATAAAACCTCTGTAGGGATCAAACATAAATTCAGGCAATCTTGTAACTGGGTTACAAAACATCCGACTTACAGACACTTGTACTTAGGAACACACTGCCATAAAGCTTATTTTAACAATTTCAGTAAGTATTATGATTCATAATAACGAACACACACAATGGAAAAACTTCATGAAATACATGTACTATATTATTATACCTACAAATCTGAATTAAAGACAGATACAAGGAACAGATCTCATTTGTAACATGAGGACTGCCTGTACATATCTACAACCTTTAATTCACAAGAATTTTGTATCTGCTGAATCTACAAATGTATAAAATCAGTGGTGAGCACAGCTAACCAAAAAGTTAGCTTCAATAACCGCTAATCTGCTAATTCCAAAATTTAATCCGATAATGGTAAACCGATAAACTACAAAAAAATTAGCGGCAGCTAACGAAAATTGCTAATTGCTAACTTTTATTATATAAAATTAGTTTAGGGTTGGTTTTTAGCTATGAAACCCTTAAAAATATACCTAGAGAGCTAAAATTTTTAACCCATTTAACAATGAAGATCCCATCTCTCGGACTACAGTCTCCAGAATAAATCTACATTAAAATTTTCTTTCTGTGATATTCCGTTTATGAACAACAGGCGTTTTGGTCAGAAAAGCCCTATTTCTCAACTGGCCCATGCTGATATTTTGCCACAGTGAAGCAGACTGGAGACTAAAATCATGGTGCCATTTACCCAGAACTAGGAAGGAGGGTCTCAGCTGTTTATTGGTCTATAGCTCTGTCAATCAGAACCTGGAAAATACAACCAGCGGCCTCTATCATGAAGCAGGACTTCTTGATCACCCAGACAACTTATCACAAATCTACATTTCTTGCTTAGCTGGATAACTTGTCTAATTTATGGTAACCCAGTCTAAATGGACTTCATCTTCATCCACTTACGTTTTGCCCAGACTGCCTTAAATCCGACAAGTTATCGACCAATCGCGTCTTGTGTTTACACATAGTCGGCCAACAGCGTGCCACATAGACTGCTGCAGACACTCTCACAACAGACAGCAACAAATAGGTATGATTTTCGGGTTTACAAATGTTTTTGCCTGTCAAACTTCATTCACTTTGCCTGTGAAAAAATGTTAGCGGATTTACAATTAGCAGGACTAAATTTAGCGGGAGCGAATTGGTCCGCTAACGGTTTTGAAAGTTAGCGGTAACACTAATAACGAAAAAGTTAACTTGGTTAATTAGCGAATTAGCAGAACGCTGCCCACCACTGTATATAATCTACATGTGTATCATAAACAGCCATCACCCTGCATTGATTATGGAAAATGGATGGATGTACAGATGGGTATGAATCTATAGTGTATATAAGACAGGACTGACAATACGATTTGTGTTAATCGTCTTTATATAACAGATTTGTTCATATACGAGTTATTATCTAGCCTAAGATGAAATGCGCTCCGTGAACCGCAGCAGAGGATTAAGGGTATTGACACCCCAGGCGGGATTCAGCGCATTGCCCTGAAGGGTTCTTACCGGGGGACACTTGCAGATGAAGCCGTTGGGGGTGTTGCTTGCCACGGCACAGGTACCTCCGTTGCGGCAGGGCCTCCCCTTGCAGCCATCGAAAACCTTGTCACAACGCTGACCTGGGGTGGGTGGGGGGGGCACAGGGGGTTTATATTAGACATGCAAACACAGACATATGCCGTGGGTAGGTGTAAAGGTAAAGATTGATGATAAATATATAAGGGCCCATTTTTGGGGGGCGTGGGCTGGGGGGGCAATCACAGAGGTAGGGCCCATTTTGCGGGGTGTGGAGTAAGGGGATAATCACAGAGATAGGGCCCATTTTGGGGGACGTGGGCTGGGAGGGCAATGACAGAGGTAGGGCCCATTTTGGGGGGCGTGAGCTGGGGGGGCAATCACAGAGGTAGGGCCCGTTTTGGGGGACGTGGGCTGGGAGGGCAATCACAGAGGTAGGGCCCATTTTGGAGGATGTGGGCAATTGCAAGAATAGTGCTTGTATAGGTGGGCATGAGCTGGGGGAGCATAGGGCCCATCTCAGGGAGGCACAGGGCCTGTCTCTGGAACATTGGGCCCATCTTGGGGGGCACAGGGCCACAGGATCTTGGGGGCCGGCGGCTCGTACCCTTGTAGCCGGTGCGGCACTCGCAGCGGTAGCTGTTGGCCAGCTGCACGCAGCTGTAGGTGCCGCGCGGGTCGCATGGAT